CCAACCCCTAGCATTCTGTGATTCTGTGATGATACCAACATGTGGAAGTGAACGAGTTCTATACTGAATCCAAATGCTCTTTTTCTTGATCTTCAGGTAAGTGAAAATCCTATATAAAGGAATGATCTCTGACCTTAGAATTTATGCAATCACAATTTCTGAATTGCTTACAAACCACAAAATAAATAACACAAGTTTAGTAGGAGTATTTGATATACCTGACATCTTTCCCCATAGACTCTATTCTGTGGCACATACACTGGACATTACACACATTGAATGTAACGTCCTTAAGAAATCTACTCATTTTCCAGTTTCAAAACTAGTAATCCACCATCACTTAACAAGGAATGTGGAGACTCATTTTAGTACCTCACTAAGAATTATATTTGTTTTCCATATCTTATCACTGCAGTAAGTCACTGGAACAATTCAGTCTTATTGAGGTGACAGGTCTTGACAATAAATTCACATGTTTATGAGAGGAGTCAGTGAAGTATGCAGGGAAAGCTAAATGTGCAAGTCATGCAATAGCTTTGGAAAAACACAAAGAATACCCTAATGCTGAGATAGAGTTCCTGTTCAGTGTCACTCTCCATTTCCATTTTTGCTTACTCATGTTACAGATAGATTTCAAGTATCTCTACCCTTTGAAATATTTGTTCCTTTATCTCAAATGCTCATCATCAGAGTATCCATGTTGTACTTTTTTTTTATTTATTTGAAAAAAGAAAGAAAAAGGAAAAAGCCATGCAGTTAGAGCTTTCAATGTGACTTAATGGTGCACAGTCGTTTGACAGGTAAGTACAAGAAAAAAATCCATACAGTGCAGAAGACTCAAAGGCTTACAACAAGCAGAGTAAAGCCTAAAAGAAGAGAAAATGGGAATGTTAGTAAATAGTAACACATGTGTAAGGGGAATAAAAAAAAAGAACCTGTAACATTGATTGGCTCTTGCAGGGAGAAGCAGCTTGCCATCTGCAACTTCATCATTAACATAGCATGAAGAGAAGTTAAAATAGAGGAATGAGAGCATTGAGATGTCAAACCTACAGCACTGGAAAAGCTGTTCTCTGCTTAAAAAAAAGGTCAAAGGGAAACCTGCAGCAAAGGACAAAACCCCATGCACAGAGAGAACACTGCCTACAGCACACAGAAGGAAGGTTCTCTAAATGCATCTCCTCAATTAGCAGCTTAAATGGAGAAAGCACTTCGACACCTGCAACTTTCCTATCGATATTCAGGGGAAATAAAAATAATTCTGTCTATAAAATCCATGGGACCAGCAAGCATTCGAGACAATGAATGATAGTCAACCTCAGGTAAGTGGCTCTAATCAGACTCTTGTCCACAGGCCACATCAGCTCAAGTCTGATTTGGTGTGAAGTGCCACGTGTCTCTGTTGTGTCTGTTTCTGTGAACCACACAATTTAGAAGGGGAGAGTCTGGACATGGTCAGATCTAAGATATCAAAATGCTCTGTGAAAGCAATTTTCTCAGCCCTTTCTCCTCCCCAGGCAAGCCAAACTTAGATTCAGCCCACTCTACTTCAGTGGGATCAAGAACTTAACTGGGCATTCCCTGGGACCTGTTTGCACAAGGGCTAAAGTGGATAGGGTCTAGAAAGGACAGTTCATTGGTTACTGACATGGACCAAATTTTCTCTTCCTTTTTAGTCTACATGCTCCTCACCTGTCCTCAATCTCTTCAGCTCTTATCTTCTACCTGCAATTTGTTGTAGTTTTCTGATACTCCTAGACACAAGTCATGAAGAAGAGCAGCCAAAGAGGGCTCCATGACTTTTCTGAAGATGCTATCATTTGCCCACATCCTAAGTGCCAGATCCCAAAAATAACGTACACAGCAGGTAGTCATAAAACTAGACAGTATATAGTTTGTGCATATGACAGGAAACAAAATGACAGAACAGAAAAATACTACATTATTGCAGGAGGTAGAAAAGTTGTTCCCAACCAAAATCCCAAGTATCTTCCCCCTTACTGTAAAGAGAAATACTTTTTAGATGTGGATGGCATAGCAATCATGCTATGAAGGAAGAAGCTGGACTAGGAGATGGACAATAATGGCCCAGAAACAGCGTGTATGCAAACACACAGACGGGTATTTTCATGCCAAGGATCTGAGCAATGAGAAAGTGGTTTGATTTGAAAGATCCCACCACAGCCTTGTTCTCTTTGTTTCAAGGAAACGAAGATTAAGTGATCCTCTGCAAAGCTGAGCAGCCACATACTGCAAACATCTATGGTTTGTTTTCTCCACATGTCAGCTTGGTAGTAGGCTGAGCATATGAGGAAATCTGTTGGTCAGTATGCAAAACAGCTTTCTCTTTCTCTGTGCTGCAGAGAATAGCATTTCTGAAATGTTTTTTTTAGGTTGGATATTGGGAAAAATTTTTTCACAAAAAGGGTTGTCAAGCATTGGAACAGACTGCCCAGGGAAGCAGTTGAGCCACCATCCCTGGAGGTGTTTAAAAGACAAATAGAAGTGGTGCTTGGGGATATGGTTTAGTGGTGGAAGTGGCATTGCAGGTTAATGGTTGGACTTGATCTTAAAGGTCTTTTCCAACCTAAAGAATTCTATGGTTCTATGATTCTATGATTTTAGCTTTGAACAGCATTAAAAAAATAATATGAAAAATATCTATATGTTAAAGGATGTTTCTCAAGTGCAGGATGAAACATGAACTGCTGCTAAGTGGTATGAACTTAAACTTTTTTGGAAGAACAGTGGCCTTTTGTGGAAGAAAAAAGCATGTTGTCTACTCAAGGTCTTACTGTTAATAATACACTTATCATTTGTCCATGTTTCTTTGAATAACGAGAGGCCACTATGTCGCCAATATCTTCATCAGTTTCATCCAGATAATCCTAAATGACAAAGAGGCATTTTAGTTATCGTATTCTGCCTTTTATTTGGTTAGCCCCTGTTGCCTAGCTTTGTTTCATATATTTTCCACTTTAGGAAGACAGTGCTGGATATATTCAAAATGCTAATCTCTAGAAGAATTTTGATTTATATTTTCCACATCTTTGCACAGGCACACAGCATAAGGGGAAAAGACTCTGTTCAGGGTTCAATTGCTTAAGAACTGAAAGAGTTGGCACACATACTTCGTATCTTATTCCGTAGGTGCGTACCTTTGCATGGTCAACAACAGTACACATAAACAAAATCCATTTCCATGCCTACTATAAATCCTGTGCGAATTACTGTATTCTATTTACTACTGTAAATTCTATTTACTTACTGTATTCTATTTACTATATTTGCATTCAGGAATTCAGGTTTGTTAGAGCAACATGGTGAGAATTTTTCAAATCTTATCAAAAGAAATGAGTGAATTAAGGTTTGATAACAGGGGCCAGGGGATCATTGACATGAAGGCATTTGTGACCAGAAGCCATTAGATGATTGCTTCCTTGGTTACAGTCCAGGTTCCATGTTTTTATGGGCTAGTTTTTTAGGACTGTTAACTTTTACTTAAAGTTACATGAAAAAAACTCAAAAAACAACTAAAAAACCCCCAACAGTTAACACCATAGTAACTGTAGCTTGGAAATTCCAAGCATTTCCTTTAACACTGGAACAGGCTTCCAAGAGAGGTAGTGGAGGCCCCATCCCTGGAGATACTCAAGGTCAGGCTGGAGGGGCTCTGAGCAACATCATCTCGTTAAAGATGTCCCTGCTCACTGCAGGGGAGTTGGAGTAAATGACCTTCCTTCCAAACCAATGGATTCTATGACTCTATTTTATTCTTTTGCTTAATCATTTTGTCATTAGTATGGATAAAGCTAGCTATGACATCTCTTCTCCTTTGTTCCAGTGTCTGAATTGAAATAAAAACAGCTGAAAGCCATGCAAAATTTTCTATTACTATTTTCTAGTTGTAACTGCATATTTAATATCAACCAGAGGGAAATTAGGACAAGCCATCACTCTGTTTGGGACAAAAAATTATATATTGTAGCAAACATTCCTCTTAGCTTCATGTTCTTACAGTGAGCTTCCTCTGTTGGTCTCTTCTCTTTCTAATCTATTCAGGGCATTATTACCACCCTACAGAAAAAAAGTCACAGGTATTTTATATTGTAAGGAAGATGTCCATTGAGACTCGGGTACAACAAACCCAAGTATTTGAGGGAGATAGATAATCCTTCAAAAGTAAAATCCCCCAAACCCCCTAAAATAAAACAAAAAATCGTCACTCCACCCTTCACTTCTATTCTCCTCATTTACTTCCGAATTCAGCTGATGTATTCAAGTTTAAAACTTGGCACAAGTACACACATGACTTACTTTCTTGCCCATACAACAGAAAGAAGCAACTCTGATAGCACGTACAAAACTCTTTCCTTTACACTGTTGTATACATACCAATGGACTTTATAATAGACAATGCTACATTTTTATTGCTGAATAATTAAATACAGTCTTCAGACTGGGCTGTTTCAGGTCAAGACACTCAAAAACAGTGCTTCACAAAGAGTTCTAATGACAGCTAGCTGACTACCAATTTTTGTTTGCAAGTAGATATTTAAAATTAAAACAAATGGTTAACACTTAACCTATGCTCTTAATTTATTTTGCACAACGGTCACATTTCTCAGGAGGTGTTGCAGAACTGCTTCTACATAACTGGTTAGTGTTATTAGCTTATTAAAGTTAGAGCTAGTAGGACATTAATCTCATGCTCTCTAGTGGTGGTTATAAAATGCACATTGCCCAATTACTTCTAATAAAACAGCTGAGCATGTAAGAACACTACTTGATCAGAAATTCAACACGCACCTCTCTAGATAGGGTGGTCACACTTGAACACAACACTAGATTTAACTGTTTCTCCATACTCCTTGATGAATACGTACTACACAGCTCACAGGGGTTTCTGCGGGTTGTCCCTTTTCACTATCAAAAGCAATGTGAGGTTAGAGAAGCAAAACACCCTTTCCATTTTTTAGCCGATCTCTCTGTAGGTGTAATGGGGTTTCCTGACAAAGCTGGGACCAAAGTGGTTAAAAGCCTTTTCCCACCCTTTCAGCTGATAAATTCCAGCAATGTGCATATCCCATTGGCATGTGGCATCTCCCACACTGCTGCTGTCAAGTCTCATCCCTCAGGAACTTCAGTTAGCTCCACCAGCCAGCCAGGAGAAAAGGACATATAACTTTTCTCAGGCTGCAGGAGCTGTTGTTATCTTCATCAGGTATCTTTCTTTCTGCCTCTTATATCAAGCACTGAATAAACTAAGCTCCAGTAGCAATACAGCTTTTTTATCTCAAATCACTGCATCCATAATGAATATAGGGCAAGACTCTGATTCAGACTGCTCTGAGTCAAGCTACTCTAAAAAAATATGGTAACACTAAAGCTGATGAATGCAATCAACTGGTTTCATAAGACAGAGCAAGCGAGGACGTCAGTAGAATCAGAGATTTATAAAGCCCATTAAGAATAAGTTTAAAGGGGAATTAGTGCTCTTGCAGACCCCTGAGTAACTAAATCAAGGTTATGCCACGAGGGAGGTCTCTTATGTTAGCAAAGAAACTAGAGCATTGCTGAGATGCAATCTGAAATTACATTCAGAGTCAGCAAGAAAGAAAAAAAGAGAAAAAAAAAAAAAACCACTATCTGCATAAAAGGAAGACAGAAATCAAAGAACAGAAAAACACTCTGGACTTGGCATCTCTGGCACTTGCCTCAGAGAAATCCCTAAGTGTATGTGCCCCGTACGATTAGAGCACAAAACTGATGTAAAGATATTTAAAATCTGTATTTCTTTATTTTATGCTTTTCTTCTGCAATATTTTCCAGCTTCTTAATCAATAACAAATCCATTTTCTTTACTACAATGAAAAAATAAACCACTTATTTTTTAAGTTTTTGTTCCACAGAAATCTGACACACAGGAAGGGCTTTTTGCCTATTTCCATAAAGATTAACCCAAACAAAGCAGTGCTGTGGGCAAATTCTCTGAGTGCTTACAACCCAAGAAACAGCTGGGAATTCCAACACATTGTTTTCCACCAAGGCGCAAGTATCTAATGCTACAAGAAGGGGAGACATCTCCCATGGCCAATGCACTTCTGAAAAGAGCAGATGGTAGAGAAGGACTATGACAGTACACAAAATGCATAAACCATATCACAGAGGGTTACAGGATTTTTAAGCTTCAAGTACATATTTGAAAACTTCAGAGCACACTATGATTAGATGCAGAACTATTTAAATACCTCTTCTTCCCCTCAGCTTCCCCACCCACCCCTTACATATTTAACAAGCTTGGAAATTCTTTTATAGCATTGATGCACATCTGCAGCTTGTGTATCTTGGATATGTGTGTAAGAGGAGAGGGAAGCTGTGAATCACTTCAGGAAAAGCAGCCCATAGAATATATAGAAAAAGTCAGGAGATAGAGAAGAGAGTGAACAGGAGGAAGAGGCAAGCAACAGTGACAGAACAGAAAGTTGGGGCTTCATTTGCTAAAAACACGCGTAATGGGAAAACCATAATCAGATAAATATTAAAGCCTTTGAAGTATAGTATTTCTCAGAATCAAAATTAAAATCTAAGAAAGTATGAATTAACAGAACTTCAGAGCATGTGTAATATAGTGACTGAAATTTATTTTCAGGTCAGCTTTCTTTGAGCTGTAAATTCAAAAACAGGCAAATCAATAACAAACTGTAGCCATGACTATTCATTAGAATCATTCACTAGCCAACATACTCAGAAGATGAAGAGGTTTAAAAATTCACTGAATATCCCTGAAATAATGCTCTGCATTACTTATATTTTACAGAGACATATAGACAGTGCTGATTTCCTAAGTCTGAACAAAGAGAACTTCCAACAGATAAACATTTACATATTTATAACTTACCAGTTCCTGATCTAAGGCACTAGGTACAGATCTGCTTCTTATGCTCAGAGTATCCTCATTTCCTTCAGAGAAAGATTCACTCAAATCTATCTCAGATCGGCTACGATCTGGAAAACAAAAAAAAAAATTAAAAATTGCTATAATTTTTACAAAAATGAACAGTTTTATCTTCCACATTTTAATAAGTGTTATCTGAAAACCAATTGTTTTTAAGAAAAAAAGTCAAAAAAATATTTTAGGTATCTGCCATAAACTCTGTGACAAGTGAGCATCAATAGGATAAATAGAAAAATATGCTTTCTGATGCTGTTCAGCCTTCTGGACAATACCTTTTGCATTGTTTATCTGCTATAATTGTCTCCTGTGGATGATATTATAGATTAACTTGGAGTATTGCAAAACTTGCAGTCCAGGTGTTCACAGTGATTTTCACATCTCCCACTACCACCAAACTCTCCCCAGCATCTGCTGCAGAATTAAGCACCTAGGAATGTAGATGGACATAGAAAGTATTTCTGCTATTACTGGTGCTCCCTATGCAGGAAGGAGGCAGAAGCAAAGAAGTCTCGAGACCTGCACAAGTTTCTTTCGCTTCTAACAGGTATCTTATTCGCTCTATAAGGATAAGACATGTTAGACCTCTTGGAGAAAGATTTCCTTAGTCCTCTCCATACAAATCTGTGTGACTGTTCAATAAACTGAGGAAGCAAGAGGGGAAGGAGAATACTTTAAGATCCTGCAAGTAGGAATCTGAAAAGTTTTTAGCTGTTAGTCTTCTACCTGGGCTATAGCTGTTGTGACAGGAAAGGTCACTCTCCCGAGCTTAATGTCCTTTGAGATCCTCCAACAAGGAGACAATGAGGAGTCTGCGGCTCATTCCCAGCTAGGCTGCAAATTTGCCCAGCCTCCATCTGCTTTGATAACACAAGGCCAGTTCTTTTCTACTAGGAAAACCTTTATTTTATAAGGTAGCAGAAGCGAGCAATTTTCAATGCATAAAAAAAGTAGCGATCTGTAATCCCTCTGCCTGGAATTGCACTGTATAATATTCTCAAACTGATGTTTTCCAATTGAAAAATCTAAGGTGAAGAACATTATCTCCTTCGATTAGCTCTGTGGGATACATCACCATGTTTCTGCTCTGGGCTAAATTCAGCTGAAATAAAGTGAACCCTGTCGTGTTTCAGAGAGAAACCTGTAAATCTGAACTAACTTTGTTAGCCCTATAAGAAGCTGACCGAGTGTGTGGGACCCGGTGATCTCCAGCCACTGCTGCAAAGCTCTGACAGCACCTTGCTGTGAAAGCCTCGTTTGCCTAACAGCTTCCAATGAAATAAGGTAAATTACGGATGAATCGACTGGTTCAGTGCATCACATATAAAACTGAAATGACACGATGGCTGTAAGGGACTTATTCTCTGATAGCTCATTGTTTCCTGTATTTCCTTCTGGGAAAATGGGTGTGAAATGCAATGGCACCAGCACAGTAGTATTTTATACAGATTGTAGATAGGCAGTATTTTATACAGTTGACCTCAAGGAGAATGATTTAATAATGGACAATTATCAATTATATGTTGTAACAATTCTAAGAGCACGCAATTTACCTAAAACTAACATTGTGCCAACATTACTGGTGTTAGGATTACTATTTTTTCAAATGTAAAAACTTCTGAAGTGATATAAACTTGGTTAGGGAAAGGGAAGAATTTTCAGAGGGAGTATGATCAAATTTACAAAACTTACATCTGATCTTCCAATGTGCTTTTAAAAAAAAAAAGAAGAGTCACAAGAATAGGAATAAACCTCTGATGATAAAGGCTGGCAGAAAGAAGGAAAAGACTTAATACTTGCCTGATGACAAAGATACCCTAGAAACTGCAATGGAAGGTGTTCCAGATGCTTTCCTACAGTGCTTCTTTACTAAATCTTCAGGTACACTTTCACTTGCCGGAATAATTATGCCATTTCCTAAGCCAGTGTCCTGTCCAATAAAAAAAATGCACAACTCATAAACACAAAAAGTAAGTCTATTCACTATCAGTCTACAAAAGTATCATTTCTATTAACTCCCAGAACTCCAAAGCTTCTGTAGCATTCAGTCTAATGAATATACTTAGATTACAATCTAATCTGCTTTTCTTCGCACAGATTATACATAAAATTTGCACAAAAATGCAATTCATGTATACGTTCTGAGTTTGCAACTGAAGAATCAGAACAATGCACCAGGAATGAGAGGAGTTCATTTAGCTTGGAAACTAAAATAAGAAAAAAACCCGCACCACTATTATTTCTGTACCAGCATGATGATTTTAGTCAGGGGAAAACTAAATGGGCTTGAACTAACTAAATTATGCCAGTATAATCCCTTAAACAAAGTCAAAATCCTGTAAAGGAATACTTGACAATTTAACTCCGCCTAAATTAAATTGGCTTTTTTCAACCAAATCAAATGCACTTGCAATCAAGTTAGTCTGTTAGTCTGAATATAAATAAAAAAACTGTTAATTTATTTACAGCTCTCGAGACTGCGCTTCCTATATACTAACTTATCTTTTAACTTATCTTTTAGTAGGAAAGAAAATATACTAGACCCAGCATTTTCCCAAAGATTAATCACAAAAGGCATTACCTCTGACTATAAATTTCACTTTCCTTGTACACTTGGGTCATGGCAACCGAGAATAACTAGCTACTACAATGCTGAGCTACTACAATGTTGATTTCTTAAAGAGGGGTGACTGTAATGAATCCAGGAGGGGTGCCTCAGTGCACGGCCAGGAGGAGTTGCCTGACAAATAGGAAGGCTGCCTGGGAATGAAGAGAGTGTCTGCTTCTGGTCAGGTGAACCACATCCTTCTGCTTATTCCAAAATATTGAAGATGGCTAGCTCAGATGTCGCCACCTGCATCTAAAGAGGCCTTACAGCAGGTGAGAGGAATCCCACCTTCTGTTTTGATAAAGCATCTGGCACACATTTTGTGTTATGTCATAATTTATGTGGAGTCCAGTGTCCAAATTCAGAAAACTCTAAAAGCAGTAGGGCCTGATCTTCTGCAAGTGCTGAACTTGAAAAGTTGTCATTAGAAGTCAGTGGGAGCATGCTGGACCCTGAATGCTTGAAAAATCACATTACTCAAAGCCCTGAAGTGCCAAAAATGTTTACTCCCATCCTTTGTGCTTCCCAGTTGAGAATCTGTAACTCATTATATAATGCTGGACTATTAACAGCAATTTTTAGACAAAAGAAAAATGCCTGTCAGATCAAAAAACACTGTCAGAGAATGATAAATTCTATTCTAGCAGAGATCTTCACTGATCTCAGCAGAATTAAGGAAGAAACAAAATCTTCTCTGTCAGACTTGTCCTTTCTGGTCTACAAATCGATCTAACAGGGCAGCTACCAGCCAAGTCATCTTGTTTGCTGTCAGCTGTGATTGCTGTCAGCTCTGCATCTCTGTATTTACCCTGCTATAATCCTCAGTCATGCTACGTGTGCTGAGCGCCGGAGATCTTGGGAGGGAAGAGACATCGCCTCTGTTCACAGGAGCCACGGCCCCTTTCAGATGGACCGCAGCGGCCTCTGCATCACTGCTGTTCAGTGAGAGAGTGCTCCCTCTGGGATGGAGAGAGAAGAGCATTAAAGCGTTATTGCTTTGAGCAAACAAAGGTAACCCATTTAGCAAACCACTGCAAGAAAACAGCCACATTAACAGTTTCCTAGAATAACATTCTTTTGGATGAACTGTGTGATCCGCTGAGAGGAAATGGTCACCTGGAAAGAAAAACACAGGCAAAGGTGAATTACAACTACTTTACACGTACAAGTATTTTCAGCACTTCTACCAGTGCCCAAATGGGTGGCTCTTGTCCAGGCTGCAGAAGCTGCACTTGTCTATCTTCATTTCGCACAGCGTTTGCATCCCAACAGGAGAGTGGCCATTACTCCAACTTGGTGAGATGAATCCTATGACTGGAATGTGGCCATTGGTGGCTACAAGCTGTTCAGAAGGGACAGGTAAGAAAGGAGGGGCGGAGGTGTTGCCCTCTATATTAAAAAATTGATAACGTGTGCAGAGATGTCCCTAATAAATAGTCAAGAACAAGTCAAAAGTTTATAGGTAAGAATTAGAGGCAGAGTCAATAAGGGGAACCTTGCAGCTGGTGTCTGCTACAGGCCACCTGATCAAGGGGAGCCTACTGACGAAGCTTTCTTACTCCAGCTACAGACGGTGTCATGCTCGCAGGCTCTCATCCTGCTGGGGGATTTCAACCACTCTGGCATCTTCTGGAAAAGTAACACAGTGAACTGTAGACAATCCAGGAGACTCCTGGAGTGCCTCAATGACAACTTCTTAAGCCAGGAAATAGACATCCCTACCAAAGGGGATATGATATTGGACCTGATAGTCACCAGTGCAAGTGAGGTCATCAGGAATGTCAAGACTGGAGGCAGCTTGGGCTGCAGTGATCATGCACTGGTGGAGTTCACAGTCCTCAGGGATACAAGCCAGACGAGGAACATGGTCAGGACTCCGAATTTTAGGAAAACAAACTTCCAACTCCTCAAGAAGTTTGTTAATAGGATCCCCTGGGAAACTATCCTCAGGGATAAGGGAGCACAACAGACCTGGCAGATATTTAAAGATGCTTTCCATAGAGTACAAGAGCTCTCAATCCCTGAGTGTAAGAACTCAAGCCAGGAAAGGAAATGATCAGCCTGACTGAATCAAGACCTGCTGGTCAAAGGCAAGAAGGAACTGCACAGGCACTGGAAGCAGGGACAGGTGTATGGGGAAGAGCATAGGGACTCTGCTCAGATGTGTGGGGGTAAGGTCAGGAAGGCCAATGCACGGCTGGAGCTGAACTTGGCAAGGGATGCCAAGAACAAGAAGAAGGGCTTCTACAGGTATGTCAACCAGAAAAGGAAGCTTAAAGAAAGCGTACCCCGCAATGAGCAAGAGTGGCAAGCTAGTAACAACATCCAAGGAGAAGGCTGAGGTTCTCAACAACTTTTTTGTCTCAGTCTTCACTGGCAACCTCTCTCCTCATCTCCTGATATGAAGGACCACAAGACAGAGATCAGGGGGACAAAGTCCCTCATACTATAAGTGAAGACAAGGTTCATGATCACCTGAGGAACCTGAATATACGCAAGTCTATGGGACCTGAAGAGATGCATCCAAGAGTCCTGAGGGAATTGGCTGATGTAGTTGCCAAGCTACTATCCATGATACCTGAAAAGTCAAAGTCACATGAGGTTCCTGGGGACGGGAAGAAGGGAAACATTAAATCCATATTTAAAAAGAGTAGACAGAAGGACCTCGAGGAACTACTAACCTGTCAGCCTCACCTCTGTGCTTGGGAAGATCATGGAACACTCCTCCTAGAAGCTCTGCTAAAGCACATGGACGACAGGGAGGTGATTCAAAACAGCCAGTATGGCTTTACTAAGGGCAAGTCCTGCCTGACCAACCTAGTGGCTTTCTACAGTGGAGTGACTACATCGGTGGACAAGAGAAGAGCAATGGATGTCATCTATATGGACTTCTGCAAGGCTTTTGGCACAGTCCCACAACACCCTTCTCTCTAATATGGAGAGATACGGACTTGATGGATGGACTCTTTGGTGGATAAGGAACTGGCTGGATAGTCACATCCAGAGGGTAGCAGTCAATGACTTGGTGTCCAGATCTCAATGTATGACAAGTGGTGTCTCTCAGGGGTCCATAACGGGACTAATGCTGTTTAATATCTTCATCAGTGATAGACACAGTGGGATTGAGTGGCCCCTCAACAAGTTTGCAGATGACACCAAGCTTAGTGGTACAGTCAACACACCAGAGGGACAGGATGTCATCCAGACATACCTGGACAAGTTGGGCCCACATGAACTTCATGAAGTTTGACAAGTGCAAGGTCCTGCACCTGGGTCAGGATAATCCTCATACAGGCTGTTCGACGAAGTGACAGAGAGCAGCCCTGAAGAAAAGGACTTGGGGATAGTGGTGGAAGAAAAGCAGGACATGACCCAACAATATGTACTCACAGCCCAGAAGGCCAGTCGCATCCTGGGCTGCATCAGAAGTGTGGCCAGCAGGTCAAGAGAGGTGATTCTGCCCCTCTACTCTACTCTGCTCTGCTCTCCTGAGACCTCATCTGGAGTGCTGTATCCAGACGCAGAGCCCTCAACATAAGAAGGACATGGACCTGTTGGAGTGGGTCCAGAGGAGGGCCGTAAAAATAATCAGAGGGCTGGAGCATCTCTCCTTTGAGGACAGGCTGAGATAGCTGGAGCTGTTCAGTCTGCAGAAAAGAAGGTTTCAGGGAGACCTCATAGCAGCGTGAAGGGGGCCTACAGGAAAGCTGGGGAGGAGCTGTTTACAAGGGCCTTTAGTGATAGGATGAGGGACAATGGTATTAAACTAGAGCAGAGTAGGTTTAGATTGGACATTAGGAAGAAATCCTTTACTATGAAGGTGGTGAAACACTGGAACAGGTTGCCCAGGGAGCTGGTGAAGGCCCCATCCCTGGAGACATTCAAGGTGAGGCTGGATGGGCCTCTGAGTAATATCATCTAGTTAAGGGTGTCCCTGCTCACTGCAGGGCAATTGGACTGGATGACCTTTAAAGATCCCTTCCAACCCAACACATTCTATCATTCTATGTGATGACTCATGTAACAATTCTTATCAGGCTGCTCCTTGGTTTAAAGGAAAACTACAGTGACATGACAGTTCTATCCACTTCTGCAGCCAGTGTTAATGCCAGTATCATCTCTAGAAAGTCTGTCTGCTTTCTGTCCTCTCCAGAAAAAAACCAACTTGCTCACTGTCCTCTTTATATTGCAATAATGACTCTTGATCCAAACTGGTTGATTCTTTCAATCAGCCTGGAAAGCTAGGAAAGCTGGACCAGTCTTTTTGCCAGGTTTTGTGTAAGGAAAAATGACAGAAGAGCATCTGTGATCAGCATGCCAGAACCCAATTGCTGTCTAATACCACAACAGGCAGAATTTTCTCCATGAGACGTTTTCTACTAGAAAATACTGATTCACCCATGTGAACATTGAGGGCTAGAAAAGGTAAGCTGTTGCACTTTTTTTGACCTTTTGAAACAATGAAAACTATTTTAAAATGTACTTCACCATATTTTCAGTTAGGGTTTTATTATAATTTGAAACTAGATTTGTAGAAAAAATACAAGTTCTTGGCTGATTTACTCTTTCTCCACAAATGTCACTTCAAATTATTTACTTTTCTTCACAGTTCAAAGAAATTTCAAATTCCTTGCAGAACAGTAACAGTTCTGCATAAATCCTATCTTACTATTTAAAAAAAACCCCGTTAATGGTAAATAGGAATTGATGAAGGAAATGCACTGTCTTCATATGGAAAACGCTGTGTCAGAGGACAATAGTAGTGCATGTTTGCTGGAGAAAAATTTTGCAACATACTGGATGTTTTCAGCCAAAAGAGGCTTGTTTAATAATTCTTTCAGATTTGCAGGCATTTTCATTGTGCTGGACAACAGCTGAATTTCACCTTCTCTTGGTTTAGTCTGTCATGTTTAGAGAAACTGCAGTAAAAACCTCTACCACAAGGGAAACTTTTTATTATAACTACTGTTGAACTGAGAAGAAATACTCTGCAACTCAACAGCTCCTGTCTCTCCACTACATTGATCAGTCAGCATAGGCTCTGAATCCATAGTGGTGCAGTTACTGAAAACAAGGACCACAGTTGAAAACCCCAAACACCGGGACTGTCTACAAATGTTGCCCAACTGCTCTTTTGTCTTTTAGTGAGCGTATGATGACCTTTCAAACCATTACTATCCAATATCGTCTAATCGACAACAGTAGATAATGGATAATAAACACACTCTTTTGCATGTGCACTTCACACACGTGAACTGCTACTATTTAATTTGATGAGCTAGTGATTAACAAATCCTACTAAATGTGCTTTGGTTGAATTTTAGTCCTATCTGTTTACATAAACATGCATCTCTGGTCAGAAAAATCAAGGTTACTGGCTGTCATCTCTCTTTTATCAAAGCTGTTGGACTTAGATGCACACACCTTAATTTCCAAACCTGCCAGTGCATGGAATCAAGACAAAATGTTGAAAACCTGAGTTTTATTGCATGTCACACCACTTTCAATAGATGGTTGTGATTTGTTTTTACAAAAGCAGTCATCACAGATTTTTTTTTTCCTTGCTGTGTAAACTAATGTCAATCAAGACAAGTGTTCAGAAGTAATAGTGAGCTGGAATAAAATATGTGAAAATACATTACAGGGGGTTCTACAGGAGTCATCATCCAGACGGAACACCTGCACATCAAACCTGCTAAACAGGCATCTGTACTTTGCCCTTATTTCAGTCTGCTATTAGAAATAGGCACCCATAATACATTATACCCATATCAAGTAGACAACAAAAGAAAAATGTTGTTATAACGTGACAATGCCAGGCATTTCCACGTGGTAGACAAGGTCTCAGTATGGATGGCATAGTGTGTCTGTGTAGATGAGCCTGAAATTTCTGTGCTATTTCTCCCAGAAGTATCATGATGTAGCCTCTCAGTTCATACAGCGGCAAAATGAGTAAACATTTTTGCCAGAACAGAAGTAAACCCCTTGAAGAGATGAACTCATGGCGTGGGACTCCCTGTTCCCAACTCAGTACATCTTCCTCTATAAAAGAAAAGTTCAGAAAGAATAAAAAATTTATTTCAGTTTCCCTGCTGATAAGTGAAATACTACCAATTTCAGCAGTGCAGCTAAAAAGATGAGGGCAATTAAAAAACTCAGAAATAAGCAAGAAAATCTAGGAGAGCTAGTGTCAGAAGATGTTGTTATATTATTTTAATTTGAAACTCAAAACAATTAAGGAGGGTAGCCTGGGAAGCTTTGCTGTTATTTTAAATAATTAGTACTGAGTTCTATCAATTAATAATAGATGAACAAAGCAAGGACCCTCAGATACCTAATCAAGTATTTATCCACACATGTACAAGACAAATCTTCTAAGAAATCTCTACTAAGAAATATAAACAGCTCCTTAATCCTTCCACAAACTATTTAGAAAGTACCATATCTTCCATAGACAGTAAAATAATTAAGTCCCTCCACCAAAAGCATCTCCTGGCAACACAGCTGGCTTACTCAGCACTTCGACACAGGACATCAACTTGGTCAGGTGAGGATGAGATGACAAGTAGCAAAACAAGTTACCATAATGACTCAGTTTAGTGAACCCTGCCCCTTGGCTCTGGTGGAAAGCTAGAAATTGATGTTTTATGTGAAAGACAACCAAGGCAATCAAACATAAAGGCTTTATTTACAGACTGCTTCACTCTATTTATCCTTCTAAGTCTGTACACAAAACTTACCAGGTGCTGAATTCTACCGTGCCAAACAAAATTATTTTGCTTCATTTATGGTTAACTTCAGGATAACTTGCAGTTTGGCACTTCAGAATCGCTGAACATCCTTTTGTCCTTATTCTGGTAAATTCTTCGATAAAGTTCCTTAATATTGCACAACCTTAGTGTTAAGCAGCACAGACACCAGATTTCGGAGTTATTGCCTCTTAGATCTCTCACTCATTTCTATTCAATTAAAAGCAAAACAAATGCAGAAAACATGCAAAAATGCTACTTCTGGTCTCATAAAAGTCAGGTATGAATCTAGTTAGATATGGACGGCCTAATTAGTTTGTGGAAAAAAAACAAAAGAAAACAAAACAAAATTAGTGAACTGTGTATGGATTAAAGACGAAAATTAGCTGATTTGGCTAGTAAGTGCTGCAGCATCCAGTGGAAAAAAAAGTAGTTCTCAGCTTTCAAAAAGATTGTCACCATCAAACTACCGGCAACAAAGAGAAGCAAGTTTTTGTTTAAACAAGGCGGCTCATCGGTGGGTGAATTAAACTTCATGATCTTCCTTTTCCCTGATAACGCATTTTCCTGTATACCTACTTGGAGTCAACCAAGAACACTGTTTAGAGTTAGAAATTTCTATTGGATCTTACAATAAATTATTTTTCAATTAAGACTGTAAAATTTCAAGGTCTGTGCACCTGAGCAAAGAATGTGGGTCTATATCCATTATGGACTATCCAAATTAACAAGAAATAAGTGAGCTATATTTTGGCTTCATTTTGAAGGTGGGGCATGAGAGGAATGTTGCATCTGGCATTTTTTAATGCCGTTAGAGGCAATTATAGAGTTCTCTTAAGCCCAGAAGAATGATAAATGGAATTCTGTTAGAAATAACTGAGACAACAATAATGGAAATAGAAGAGCAAACAGAACCCCTGAAGAAGAAAATACAAATTATTTATAATCAATTAGTACATCATTATCAAAGGAAAACTTTGGAACAAATGGCCTTAGTTCTGCAATATGAACACAGCTCATCAATTAAAATCCAGAAAACAAAAAAAATAATGTACTAACAACAATCACTAGCCAAACACAAGTAGAGAAAAGGAAGATGGATAGGTATAATTTTTATTTGGGTTTTTGTTGCTGTTTTGTTTTATCATTTTAAACATAAGCTTTTCTTCTCAGATAGCATTAATGCTGAGCATTCAAAGACACAACGAAACACAGAGGACTGGCACAGACCCCTGGGTCAATCCTGGCATGAGCTGTACTGGATTTCTGCTGCTCACCTCTCAGAGTACGGCGTTGATTTACCACTGCACAGACTTTGAGTTTCAGCTTCTGAGCCCACGTTCCTTTCACCTTCATCTTCGGCATATGTACTTTCGCCTTTCGTAATCGCCCTAATTACCTTCCTGATAAAAACATGGAAAAAAAGATTTTAAAAGTTGTAAGGTTTTGCCCAGGAAACAGCAACCTGGCTGTAATACTGTGATGTGTGCATTCTATCAATTTCATCTGCCTGACCTATTGACAACTCTGGATATAAGGGTCAACAAAGCACCAAATCTGGTTATCACACTGATTCCTAAGAACAAAAATAATTCCATAATATTTGCTATAAAGTGTTTTTTAAGACATAAAACCTTAGACCATCCCTTCTACATAATACAGCCACATCAAGCTTTGAACCAGAAGTGCCTTTGGTGAAAATTCCTCTCTGTTTTATTTTATATACAGTTTATACACAGCAAAGTATGCTTATTTTCCCCTAGAAAATTACACTATGAGTATTTTCTCTTAAAGATTTATTTGCATTTTCTACAATTATATGCATCCATGTCCCAAAATGTGCTGTCTTCCAAAAACATCACATCACTCCCTTACCCTGCGACATGGCCTAGTAAGACAGAAATGAAAGAAATTAAATGAAGTTTTGAAAAGTAATTGTCGTCTTCATAAACTTACAAACAACAACAGACTGTTAAGTTACCTCATGACACTAAGTGTCAGCAGGAGTTGGCCCCAAAATTGCTTTGCTAAAACAAATCCACTCATAAGATGTATGAATGTGGAATCTGAGGGAGGAAGAAGGAGCAAGGAAGGAAGAGGAGGAATAATCAACTACTTCTGAGACAAACAAGCCTAATTCTTGTAGGATTAAATTTCCTTTATGGGGAATGTCACCACCAGAAAACGTATTAGGCCACAAACTGAAAAAGGCTGAACACTATGAAAATAAACAGGCAATTATAAAAAATAATTGTTTCTCACCAGGGAATATGACTAGTAGATTTGCACAAAAGGTTTAAATGAAGAGGATTAGAAAAGTAAACTTTAGTGCACTCTTATTATAGCTACCAATTAGCATGATTTAGAGCAACATCTAGGTCCTATTACAGTAGATTCCCTAAGCTGGTTCCTTCTTCAGCCAGTTAAGCGTGGTGCTGATAACACCACGGTCGTGGGTTCAATCCCCGTTCATTCCCCATGTGTTGCCTGATCTAGCTGAGAGGTGTCCCCGCCCATGACAGGGAGGTTGGATTAAATGATCTCTAAGGTCCCTTCCAGCCTAGGCCATTCTATGATTCTATGAAGACAGAGGTGTTCTGATGCGCTTTTTTACCAATATTAAGGAGAGATGACTCATGTTAATTACTGGAGTTGCTAGAACAGTATCTCTATACTCAGCTCTCCTCAGAGGTAAAAAACCTATATAAATCTATCCACCAACTGTATTTAGGATCCATATTAAAATGTCTTTTTCTTTCAACATAAACCAAGTTTTCCAACTATCAGCCTATGGTGCTCCAGCCATGATTTGAACATATTTTTCATGGGGTGAACCCAATAGCCTCAGGTTCTGTCCAGACACCACTTGCACAACTGTATACTCAATGCACCTGATTTGTGTCCCTCGAGAGTAACCGAGTGCTCCTCTACGGGCACAGCCAAACTGGGCTTACACACACCACTGAGACCGCAACACGACCAGCAATGTATCTGCTCATTCCCTGGCACACGCACAAAGAAAGGGGACACTGCTTGACTGCTAGACTTCATTTGCACAGCTGGAAGTTGAAGGAAAAGGTGGCTTGTGAGCAGAACCAGCCAGCACACATAAAACTAGCCTCTCTGAATACTATTCATTGCATGTGCTTCTTGAGCAAACCTGTCTTTAGGGACACTCTGTTGCTTCTGAGTATAAACAAGAAAAATCCAAGGGTAAAATTGCCTATTTTCTGCTACCTTTATAGATGAAGAATAATTACTACTGCATTTCCTAGGGAACAGCAGTCTAATTATAGTAAGTATGTTTTTAACTGAAGGCTGTTTCTAACCCTGGGAAGTTTGAGGCTGATGTGGAATGCTGGAGAAACTGAAAAGAAAATCCATCCAACCATATACAGTGGTTATCCAATCTAACAGTTTCCAGAAGAAAAGGCTTTACCCTATCTTTCTAGGCCCACTGAAGACTGATTTATGCCCATTTGTGGAGGAGACTGACACATCTGGCTTTTTTTCTTCGTTCTCTTGTGGCTGATCTTTGTATGATCTTCCTTCATCCTTACTGGAAACCGTGTCTTCAGTGGAGAGGGAACGAAAAAACACAACAGAATATTTGTACAAAAAAGGCAGCACATGTCAAACAACCAACAAAAACAGAATTTCAACTTTTCCAATATTAAATAAAATCATATGATAAAATACCACCAAAAAATTGTGGGGTTCTTTGGCTTTTCCTTTTAATAGAAGAAAATGAAACTAAGTAGCTTGAAACATTTCTCATTATCACCGACAACATTTAATAAGCACAGGAGCTGAAATACAATTTTGTGGTGTACACTATGCCCTGTGTTAAATAATGTTTTCCTAATTAAAATGTTTGTTCAGCTAGGAGCAAGGTGTCAGAAAAATGGCTTAAACAGATTTTTTTAATATGTATATGTCAAATAGCAAAGTAACAGATCACAAAATACCCAATTTGACAGGCTACATAATATCAAAACCTAAAGAATGTTAGATACTTGCCAGTTTGACAGCTTCTGAGGAATGGTGATATTGGCAAGATCAGCATTTTGCCAAGGAGTATACGTACGCAAATCATTTTTCCAAATGGCAGTAAACCAGTCCCTCTCCCTTCAAACTGTCCATAACCACCACCCTCCTACTGAAAGCAATAAATGCTACATCTGAAAACAGACTATCTAAATAATGGCTTCTGTGTGCAGAGTGAAGTAGTTAAGGATCAGCATTCAAGAAAAACTCCCATTTCTTAAACCAGTCGTCTTGTGGTATTAAGCAAGGTACCACAGCAGCTCATAGACATGGCACCCTTGCTGTGCTTGGTCAAGACAGACACTGTTTATTTTATCTAAAAGTACAGGTGCAATTTATTGGAGATACCTGGGCAAAAGGAAAGTTGAGTGAGAACTGAGAAGCACCAAGTAGTCTGGGTCATGCTCCAGTGTACAGCACAGGAGTTAACATTGATCTTCCTTATTCAGAGTTGAAAAAGAGAAATTGAATTCTTTTTGCACACCACCATCACAAATAACAGAATCAGCATGCGAAAAAATGTCTGGGTTTAGATCTCTACATACAGCCAAATCTCCTGGCAGGAACTGAGAATTAACTTTAGAGCCTCTGCTGCTGTCTCTGCAGCTCCATCATACTGTCCATTTGTTTTGACAATGAGATTTTAAGCAGCTTTCCATCTCCACAGAGAGACTAATTCATTCATTCATACCTTACCTTTCCTAAGTATTAGTCATTCACAAATCACTGCACAGTAATACCCAAATATGAAATTAAGATCAAAATACTGATTACACTTATACCGTAAACAGTGAAGAATAAAATACAAGTCAAGCACTCTGGAAACAAGGTTTGAATGTATTAAGCACAAGCAGATCTCTCTGTTGTGGTCCCTACCTGGGAATTTGTGCAGGATAGATTGTCTGACAACATCGGTTCCAAGAAGATTTGATTGTTTGAAGCGCTTTGCTCTCTCTTCAAAAAACCATTCTCCTGTCACTATCCGTAGCTGTCTATATGGCGACAATAAAAAAAACAACAACAGAGGCACATGCACATTAACAAACTTGACCAACCAAAGCTACTTCTTAAACCATTAGGTCATCATTCAACCACGATGCTCACAAACTCTGGATAACATTTGCAGAGTACAAAATAAATGGAACGCAAATCTTCGAATTGCAATGAACTTTTTGTCTTTGCTGCTGTTATGGATAATGTTGCTTTTTCTAATTTCAAACTCTCTTACCTACACTAACAAAAAAGAAATCCTGTACTGGCATTGCTATTTTCCATAGGTATATTGCTAGCCTTTTCCTGAACTAGTTTCCTTATGGTAGAGCCTCACCATTTCTACTGCCTCACTACATACAGTTGATAACAAAAAGCTACTAATCGTGAATACTTGAATAAAAATCAAATAAACAAACAACATTAAAAATTGATTTAGCTCCAGACGTGCTCCTGCTTACTTTATGCTCAATAAAAAACCTCTTATTTTCAAAGCTGTATGTACCAGAAAACAAATCATCTAGTCTCTTGGGCATGAAAATTACTATAGATGGATTTAGAGCATTGATCAGTATCTCTGCTATTAAAGTAGTTTTGAGTCATGCCTGAATGGAGAGTGTTACTTTGCAAAATACTAAAAATTACAGAAGAGGATCCTGCCATTGGTAGAAAGATCCTCACATCATTAGTTCTTCCTAATATATTAATGAATCATGCACCTCTGCATGAGTCAGTAAAAAAAAAAAAAAAATCGAAAACATGTGCCCACAGGCATAGAAATAGAAGATTATTGCCTTATCTTGTTGTTGCAGACTCCTAGAGACAAAATCCCTTATAATTCCTCATCACAATCAGTCAGTCGTTGTGTAAGGCAGTAAATAAAATCTCTACCTTTCCACTCAGAATTTTTAAATTACTTTTGTTAGATACAAACATGAGAAAGGATTCATTGCATTGGAAAATATGCACAGTCTGGCTGGTACAAAAACCAGCACTTCTGCGAATGTGCATTTTCACAGCATGTACTTCTCTGTGCAGTTATTTTTATAGCAAGGTTTACAGCAAGTTTAATGCTTTATATCAAACCATAAAAACCTTTCAGACCTCTGACTACACCATCATATTCCACTGCAATATAAATGACACATTACACTGCAGTACAGACTACAATGGTTCATTCATTATTTTTTTTCTCAGTTACTCCTGGGTTTGACCATAACGCTATACAAGTGCTATTTTCCCCTTGGATATAGATTTTGTTCACCCTAATATCTTACCAGCGATGCTTATCTTGATCAAGGCCAGACAAGGCACCTCCTCGTCACCTTATCCAGACACACACCTTCACCCTTCTCCAAGCTCAGGACAATCTGAAGGAAAAGGTGTGAACAACGCCCAGGGTTTCAACAGTGTGGGAAGCTTCCCCACACAAAGCTGCAGGCTTTTACAAGGGAAAACTTGCCACTATTCCTACATCCAATCTTGAACTGTGCCACCCACCCAGGCAGCCCCTCCGCCACAGGGAGGAGTCACAAGGAAGTAAAACATTGCCCCTCCAGTGAGTTACAGACAGAACGAGTGACCAATAAGAATATTCCATTCCGTAACGGCATCTTGGCTTGTGTTAGAAATAGTGTGATCAGAAGGCACTGGTGAGGCTCCACCTTGAGTGCTGTGTCCAGTTTTGGGCACCTCAATACAAGAGAGATCTCGAGGTGCTGGAGCGAGTGCAGAGGAGGACAACGAAGCTGGGGAAGGGCCTGGAGAATAGATCTTACGAAGAACGATTGAAGGAGCTGGGGCTGTTTAGTTTGAAGAAGAGGAGGCTGAAGGGAGACCTCATCACTCTCTACAACTACCTAAAAGGACATTGTAGAGAGGTTGATGCTGGTCTCTTCCCACAGGTAGTTAGACAGAACAAGAGGGAATGGCTTCAGACTGCAACAGGGGAAGGTTAGACTGGACATTAGGAAAAAATTTTTCACAGAAAGAGTGGTCAGAGATTGGAATAGGCTGCCCAGGGAGGTGGTTGAATCACCACCCCTGGAGGCGTTTAAAGGTCATTTAGATGTGGTGTTGGGTGATATGGTTTAGGGGTGAGCTTTGTAGAGCAGGGTTAATGGTTGGACTCGATGATCACAAGGGTCTTTTCCAACCTGAATGATTCTATGATTCTATATGCATCATATCCAGTATAAAACTGAGGGATCACGAGGGTTTAGCTCTCTTTTTTCCCTTCTGCAATGGCCAGCGTCCAGGGCGGACTCCGTTCAATCTTCTGCCTTTGATCCCAATCCCGAGTTCGCGAATCCAGCTCCCCACCGCCGCTGAGCCTGGGGCTTCCTCAGTGCCACCTGCTCTGCAGCATCAGTGGGGATTGCTGTCAGGGGGCAGCTGGGCTCAATATCGATGTCAGGGGCAGGAGGGAGTCAGGTTTGATATTGGTTTTGTATATATGGTTCATTATTTTTATTACTTCATTATTAATGAAAACTATTTTAATTTTCTTTTTTCTAATATGTAAGTTTCTCTGCCTCATTCCCTTTTCCTTCCCATTTGGGGAGAGAGAGGGGTTAGTGAGCATCTGTCAGCACTTAGTGGCCAGCCCAGCCTTAACCTGCAACAGGAAACAAGAGCATTTACTCAACAATACATCAAAACAGTGCTTGCAGGTTTGTGGTTTTTTTTGTTTTTAAAGAGGGTCCAAAGTCCATACTGATTGTAAGCCATAGTATGTGCATGCATTTTCTTGACTTCTCTTTCTCACTTAGCACGTAGCATACAAAGTACCAAAGGTATATGTGTTCCAACAAAACAGTGTTTAAACTAGCCTCTCAAGGTGTGCAACAGATGCTGAAGTCAGTAGCTTTAGAAAGAAGGAAAATAGCGTTATAAATTGTAGTAGCAGCAATTTTTGCATGATTGTTCTTTCCTGTACTCAAACCAGCTAGGAAAATTGTAAAGAAAAATCACAATCAAGTTGCTACATTTAGTACCAAATACTTTAGGTATCTGCTAAAGTTCTTACACATTAATTACTGATGAACCCACTCACATCATCATGTGAAAGGAGGTATGGTACAGTTCCACGCTTCTTATCCCTCTGTGATCTACTAAATGGATTAACTTCACTAATATGCTGCTCAGTTTAAAAATAAAATATAAACTGTGACCTATCCCTGACAAAAACTCAGGTTGTTATTTTCCACTCATTTTTTTCCAGAGACTTCATGGTTAAATACTCAATTATAAAAATTCCACTTAACATGGAAAGTCCAGTTGTTACCTTTAATAATTTCTTTTGAGTAAAAGCCCACATTTGTGAAACAGTTTCGCTATCCATTGGATTACCCAGACTACCTCACATCTACAGTAGAGGAGAGAGATTTAGTTTAGCTTTCATTCCCTTTTCTGTTCATCAAGTCATTTTACTTCTTTGTTGGGAGTAAAACTTGGAAAAAAATTGCAAGATCAAAGGCTGGCTAAAATTTAGCCTATACATGAACATACCAAAACAAACACACTCATCTTTGTATGTATTCAATTCCACAGAGTATTTTATATAACATAAATTAATTCCAGAGTAATTTTTAATATACTTTGAGGCTATTAAACAGATTTTTTTACTCTATTAAAATAAGGCAAATCTGCCTAGAAGTCACTAAAAATAAAACAAATTTTAAGAAATCTGAAAAGCATTTGCTTAATAAAACATTTGAAATGCCTCTATTTTTAGGCTCCTAATAGGAACGAATATTATAAAGACACTGATGAATTTTCATGATACTTTAAGACAACACAATTCTTTCAAAGATGGAGATAAATTTTCCATTACTGCTTTGTTCTGCTGTAATAACTTGGGCCACCTAAGCCTTTCATCTTGCTGAGGAACTCAATCAAAATAAAGGTATTGTTCACAGATATCTAGACACATTTGGAATGAGAAATACAGACAGCATCAAGATGCAAAACAAGCTTGTCAGCAGACAGCTGGAAGAGGTCAATTTCCTTCCACATACTGATCATTTTAGATAACAAATTTAAAACACAAACTGATCCCACTTTAATAAGATGCAGGGAAAAAATGTGAACTTAATGGAAAAATTATCATTTAGCACCTATGTTTGAAAGCTCTTGATGACCTCAGTTCTTCGTATGCAGGGAATGGAGCCAAAAGCTTCCTCTTTCGTCAAGTGCATCGCTACATGCAGGCTTAATTTACCTCATTAGATCAACAACGTGGCCATCAAGCACACAATCACATAAATAAAGACTGTCGTGTTCTCTGCTCTCGGTAACTGCAGAACTAAGAATTTGGAAGACCTAGCTCTAAACCTTCTTGACCTTTAAATGCTTTATCTTGCAAGTTTATTTTCTAGATGGTAATAACTCCAACGGAGGGGAAAAAACAGTTATTTTCTCCTTATGAACATTCAAGGGGAACATCTTTTTTCAGTAACTGTAAATTGTAAGACAATTTACAGACAAACCTCAGTTTGTTATACTTAACAACACTAATGAACACCTCTCGCTATTCACATTCAAATGTCTTTCCCTCAAATTCACTACATCTCTTTCTGAAAGTGTTTTAGAAGGTAATTAATGTGTTGGAATGAGCTTCCCCATCACCATAAACTGTTTTTCAAGCAAGTCTGACTTCGTAGAAATGGCGCATTAGATGTTTAAAAATTATTTTGGAGAAGTCAAATTCACTTGTTGCCAGATGACGATGTTCTGGCTCACAGATGAACAGACAGATTGTATTATTAAGCAAATGCGTATCTCACCTCTATAGCTACCATCATGTTACTATGTAACTTTCTAAATTTGTTCAGAGAATATTGTAAAAGACACAGACGTAAAAGATTAGCATCTTGAAATTACCTGATCCTCAAGTCAAAGTCAGCATACTTGAGTTTGCTGCCATTTTATTATTATTTTTTTTTTCTTGGTAGCTGGACATAAACCCACTATAAATATTAAAGCAATGACATTTGATCCCAGGTTGTTGCTTTAAGGATGGCGGAACAATTGTTTACTGTCTTAAGAGTGTAAATTAGTCTTTCAAAGAACGCTGTCTCTAGGATGTGAAAAGCTGACAAAGAAATCTTCCAGCTAGTTAGCAGAAAAGGTGGTAAGACAGGGTGTACCCAGAGATAATAAGGAGATCGTTGTTTAGAAAATTGTAGCAAGTTTTTCGTCCTTGTGGGTGTGCGGAACCAGACTTAAGTGAGGATCTTCTAGTCAAAATCCTCATTATGGAGATTAGAAGGTACCAAAATGTCAAAAATTGTTTACGAAAGGCTGAAAGTGAGGCAAAATTAAATGTGGCAGTGGGAGATTGCAACCAATGACTCAATTCCGAGCGCCAAAAGCTCGTACCCCCACACCCACGAGGAACATGTGTGCTAATTTACATGAGAAGCGAGGCTAATTTTAATATACTTAGCCAATAATAGATGAAATGGTTATCACTAACTAGTAGTTGTAAAAATAATGTAAAATTAGGCCTGTTCATACTAATTAAGTTATAACATAAATATGTTGCAGTTTTTCAATGTGGTATGCTAGCTTCACCTAGCATCCAAACCTGGCCAGCTTTGCTAATAAACAAATGTTGGCTTTCTAAACTTCCATTTGGTTTAGAGAGTTCCTTCTTTACAGTTACTGCTTTTGGGAACAAGGTTATGTGACAGAATGTCCTTTTGCTGTACTCTTGTGATACAAGGGGACAAGCAGGACTCAAGATGCTCAGAAGGAAAGAAAGGTCAAACGTATTAAATGAAGCAACAGGAAGAGACTGGCTGGTTTTATCCACATTTTCTTTTATTGCCACGGGATGTTCTGTGTTGCAGCAACCATTTTTGAACTATCTGTGTAATCCAAGGGATTGCTGCAGTAATTTCTGCAGTACTTGTCAATCTCTTCACTCAGTATCAGACATTCTTCACTGGCAGTAAGCTTTCAAACAGTTCAGAAAATTTCCTTCTGAACATATTCCTGTAGGTATAAGCAGTGACTAGATAGAGGACTTGTGTAGGTTATTGTACAGGTTATTACCATTGCCAGCCTCTTAAGCAGCACGTAATAGACATTCTTGAAGATGATTTTGGCAGAACAGCCAAGAGCTAGTACAGCACCAAACTTGGAAAACATTCATGAAGGCCACACATCCTTCTCACTGTCTTTTAAGGGTCTCTTTAAGGTTTAGTATGACAATGTACAAATACATTATAACAACAGTATAGCCTGGCTCTGCTAATGGAACAGCACAGAAGGTGCTAGAGACTAGAGAAATATTGTCATTAGCCTAGTCTCATTGATCAAGCTTTCTAAAAGAAAACGATGGGGCAGAAAAACCCCCAGTTTCCTAATACTTTTTGAAAAGCCACTAGGCATGGTGAAACAATCCAATTTGACAGACACAAAGATCAATGCTACAAGAGTTAGATAATTTTTTTCCTCCTGCCTTTTTTTGCTGCTTATACAGTATAATTGTCTCTTAATACTGGATTCCTATTTTCTTTTCCTTGTATTCTGCCTTTTAATCTTGCCAAAGGCCTTATTTGTATTAATCAGCTCCTCCTTCAAATGTAATTCAAATAGCCTAAAAATCCTGATTTTCCCTGCATTTTTTACTTCATAAGAAAGCAGAACTGAAAGAATTTAAATGAGAACTATGGATAATGATTTAACTGAAATACCTATCTCAAACTTTCATCTCTACAGTGCCCACACAGAAGATAATCTCTTTATATACTCCCAGCAGCGTAAAAGGCATTTTACAGATCATTAACTGTCACTATAGTCTTGCAAAACAACTGCATATGAACAAAAAGAAAGGGCAGAGAGATATTTCAGTTTAATAAATATACCCAACACCAACAAAAGTTTAGCACTTTACAGGCAAATTACACCACGGTTTGTAATAACTTAAAGGGAGGCTTCAACTAGAATTCATTTTGGAAATCATTGTCAAAACCGCTGATTATCACAGGATCGCAGCACAATCACAAGAAGCAGAGGTGGCACAGGTTTTGAAAAGTTACTTCATCTCTCTTACAGCCCCCAAACAGGACCAACTGTACTGATGTCTTCATTCCTGATAGAGGTTTATCCAATCTGTTTTTGAAACAAGATTCTGCCACCTCTCCAAGGTATATCAATATTTGTACCACCTAAACTAAATCCTTTTACTGCAGCTTAAGTAGCACATTACTTATCCAAAGTGAGTAATGTAGAACAGCCTGTAGGCTTCCTCAATGAAGCTGCCTTTTGCAGATTTAAAACTCAGTCATTTTAGTTTTCTCTTGCCTAAGCCAAACCCTTCCGACTCCCTCGCTTGCTCTGGACACACTATGTAATAGGCTTGTGTTTGTTATTTTCTGCTTAACTTTCTCCAGTTGGCCAACACAAAGCGTGCTACGCAAGACTAGGCAGGTACTCTACATAAAACGGGATCACATCATGTATTTAACAGGCCATAATTCTGCTTGCCCATCCCTGTGTGATACCGGACTTCTCTACAGTAGAAAATACTGTTGATTCATGTTCAGCTTTTCATTCAGTACGATACCCAAATCCTTTCCTAGAAGAACAACTGCAGAAGCTAGTTTTATCCTACGTTTCTGCAGCTGGTTTTGCCCAGCTGTAGTACTTCTGCAGGCCCGTAGGGAGCCACCACTTGCTTTTTCTTCAAAGCACTTCTCAAAATTGTAAGCATCACTTTGAATCTTAATTCTGTCCTTCAGCATGCCTGTAGCACCTCTCAGTTTAATGTCACCTGTAAGTGTAACTGGCAAACTCATCTGCTGCATCATCAAAGTCTGTAAATAAAATACTTAACAGAGCTTTATAATTTTCCAAGCAGGTCTGTAATCACAGTGACAGAATTTATTCCAAGGCATAGTTCCCCTTGTTGAACAGCTTATTAGAATAGCACAAGAAAAAGTACCAAAAGGTTCACTTAAGTCAAGTTATAAGACATCAGCAGATCATCTTCTCTTCATGAGGTCTGTCATCCTATCAAAGGAGGAAATTAAATTGGTCTTGAGATTATTTTTTCTTGAGCCAGCTCTTACTCATCATCCTATCATCTCCTCTCGGCTCTCAAACAGCACAGCAATCACCTGTTTCAGTATTTTTCGAGAAATTAATGGTAACTTGACAGGGTCAACAAATCCCTTATTCCTCCTTTATTAATTTTTAAAGAGCAGTATTGTGCTTGCTGTCCTCAACTTTGTCATTTCACCTGCACTCCATCATTTCTGAATGGCACAGCACAGAGTTCATCTCAGGAACTGGCTGAAGCAAATTACACAGAGCTCAGCCAGGCCCCTACTAATTTAAAATCATTTCACAGCATTTTGGGTTCACACTCTGATACAATTTACAAAAGGTCTTATCTTCTCAATCTCATTAGGTTGATGGTCAGTAGCAAACAAAAATCCGTCTGAAATTGCTCTGATTCTTGCCCCATTTAACATGATTATTTTATCATGTCTTTTTTTTTTTTTTAATATCATCCAGTTCTTACATCAGGATGCATAACTGAGTTTTGCTGCCCTATAGTTTCCTCCATTCCTTCATGGTTGTCTTACTGAATCAAGCTACAAAAGCCCATATTACTGTACCAATCAAGTGAATTCTTCCAAGTATGTACCAAGTAAATTATCTTAGAGCACATAACATCTCATTTTGTTTATTCACTTGATATCCTATGTTAGAATACTGATTCCATGCTTTTCAGCACTGCTACCCTCCTCTCCCATTCCCCATGTTTAACATTCCAACTATGAGAAATGTGATATCCCCTTTTGCTTTACCTCCCACCATGGTAGAATTTACTTTAGAATGCTCACTAATAGAAACATTATAAATGCAGCCCTCTTTCTTTATGCAGAGATAGCCAGTTACTACAAACATAGAAAAAAGCAAGGATGAAACCATTCATTGAAGTGCTTGGACTCACAGTTTCTGCATCTCTTCCCTCTTCCATCTACCATGTCAGTCAGAACATACAGACCTCACTTGTTCTTAATTCTGCTTTGTTAATTTTGAATTACTCGATTCTTACACTTATGCCTTCATGATATGAATAGACCATCACTGACTTGTAACTGACTTTCTATCATTTTTAGAATACTTCATTCAAACAGCTCAGTATCTGTGATGCTTGCAGCTTGCTTTGGAAAGCAGCTTGTGGAAACTGGCTTGAAACTGAAAAAAAAAGATACTGCAAAATAGGGCAGCAAAAAAACCCGCCAGACAAGCCTTTTCCCTTGTGTACTTGCCATACGTATGCTTTTGTGCTGAGGGGATGTAAGACAGTAACACCAGCACAAAATTACTTATACAACAGTAATCTTGAAACGTATTCATGAAAGCTGCACAACTTACGCAATTTTGGCACACACCGAGCACTTCCACTGTCCGTCAGTTCCCACGACACGGCATTTATTACAGACTCGAAGTTGGCAGGTTTGGCACGGGTCTCCTCTGTCAAAGATTAAGCCCAGGCTTTTCTGACAGCGAACACAGACCCTGCTGTTGTCCTGCTGACAATGACGGTTTCCACCTTTCCTTCGCACTTCCAGAAGCTCATTTTTCAATTTCCTAGAAGTAAGAAAATAAAATCTTTTCATTTGGAGATACAACTCAATCTGTAAAAATGTTTTAATAGATTAAGATTTAGCTAAAAACTACAAGACATAAATAAGTACTATATATATACTGCATTTTTTGACACAAATGACAAAGAAAAATAAATCCATCCTCCACCTTTCAGACATGGAGTCAAGAGGAAAATCTTGTGGTAGATCAGTGTAAGTAACTACAGAGAGCTGAGCAGTTCTGGATGATTGGTAAACCATCTTCGCTTGTCCCTCATCAATAATTCAAGCCATGCTGAGCCCAGGCTGAGAGGAGCTCAAAACTGGGATGATCCTGTGCATCCACAGAAGGCAGAGAAAAGAAATCTCTCCTGTAATTGCTCTGCATTTAGAACTACGCCAGTGTAGAATTAGCTAGGAAAGCATATGCAATTCTATATCGGCTAATCAAAACCTTATAAAGAAAAAACAAAGCAAAACATTTAGATGGATAGCAGTGCCATGCTGAGATGACACAATAAGAAAGGAGAATGTCTGTTTAACTAATGTGACTTGCCAATTACCAGTTATGCCACTGACTCTGCACAATAGGACTATTTGCATTTAAGACCTAACTTTGAAGGCCTCAATTTCAATGGTGCATGAGTTGGGTCCTCAACAAGAAAATAACCATAAGTGAGATGTAACTACTGTACTTCCAACAGCAAAACAAAAAAAAAAATTAGGAAGGATAACAGAAGAGGAAGTTTTCTCTGCCTATCTTCCCAAAGCACGGACCCAAGGAAGACTCCACCATGCCTAAACCCCCTTACTAATACCTCCTTGTACCTTGATTCCTGACCTCAAATCCAGAGCTTTACCTTCCATGCCACAGCCTCTAGCTCTTACCCTTCCCACCCTGACTCACAAATCCATCCAGCATGGAAGGAAATGTTGGAGGTCACCTAGCCTAAACTTACAGCCAAAGCAGGGCAAATCAGACTGAGTTGATTATGGCTTTCTCCAACTGAATATTGCATAACAGAGGTCCTCTAGGAGACTACAGTGTCTCTGACCACATGTTTCAGAATCTAACATTATATTTTGAGGGGTTCTTTTGGTTTGTTGGTTTTCATAGAATGGCCTAAGCTGGAAGGGACCTTAGAGATCATTTTAATCCAGCCTCCCTGTCGCCAGGGACGCCACCTCTCGACTAGATCAGGCAACACATGGGGACCAAACAGGAATCGAACCCGCGACCTTAGTGTTGATTTTTTGAGTTTTGTTTTGTTTTGTTTTAAAAAGCCTTCCTAATATCTTAACAGAATCTCCCACATTCTGGCTTGTTTCCAATGCCTCTTCTCCTTTCACCATCTATCTCTCAAAGGAGTTTGGCTCCATTTTTTTCTATACTGTCACACCAAGGACCTGAAAACAGCAGTCACATCTCACCTTTTCCTTCTCTCTTGAAGATTAAGCAAATCCAGTTCCCTCCTCCTTTTCTTCTGTGTGAAGTGCTCCAGCCCTCTAATCATCTCGATGGCCCTCTATTGAACACGCTCCAGTATGTCAGTGCCCCTCCTGTTGCAGGGAGCTCCAGACTGGAAACTGTATTCTAGATGTGGTCTCACAATTACTGAATAGAGGGAATAATCACTGGCCTCAACTGCCATCTTGTATGTGGTCAAAATTGTTAGGTCCTCTCAACATTCCTCAGCTGAAGGTCCCAGGCTCCTCTTTATCCCCTCATCTATCTCAACCTTTTCAATAAGTGGCCTGCAGGTTCTCTGCTCTCTCCAGGATCTTTTCGGACCTCCCCATCCCCCCCAAATCTCTCCTATCTTTTCAAACCTTTCCCGCACTCCACTCTATCCCAGACTATCTCCTCCCCAGCGCTTCAGCTCAGCAGCTGCTAAGCTCTTTCAGTTTTACATGCCTAGGTATTGCTGTGTCCCCATTCCCTCACCCTTCCCTACAGTCTGTCATGCACTGCCATCAATTAAGAGCCTCCAGAGTCCCTCTACCATGAAGCACTCCAGCTCATTGAAGTCACAGTCTCTGCATACACATAGATGCTTTACGGGGTATTAAAAAAAAAAAACCACCCTGGCTACTAGCTTCCCCCAAAGATCAAAAAAAAGGTGTCAGGAAGAAAAACACTTTGAGAAGATAAAACCAATAAAAGACTACAGAGAATAAAGTCTAGTGAAGGAGACTGGGAACATTGCTTAGGCCACCAGGGACAACGCTCTGACGGAATTAGGTTATTTGTGGATACGCTGCTTTGCTAAAAGGTTGGCTAGCACTTGGCTTCCCACTGGGATCTCATGAACAACAGCTGCTCTGCAGCCACCTGGTCTGCGGATGCTCAACCTCTGACAGCTTTTGAAAGAGGGCATGTCCAATCCCTCCAGGCAGTGACTACAAACCCTGTCAAGCATTTTCCTCTGCCAGCATTCTGGTTTGGCTCTGCATTCGATTCAAACAGCCCTTATCTCATGCTAGTCTTCAAAAGGCTGTCCAGGCTTCATGGGCTTTCTTGGTAACTTTGGTAATTGTTCTTGCAGTTTATTGATTGCATCTTACATCTATCTGCCTACTGTAGAGATACACTTAGTTACAGGTCCATGTCCATTTCCTTCTTTTGCCAATCAGCCAGTTACAAACGCAGACACGTGACCAGCACTACAACTGCCAACTGTACTGCAATATTGCCCCTGTGCACAGAGCAGGCAAGTGATCATCACTTTTGCCACCCTCTCCTTGGATCTACCTTCTAAACAAGCTTGCCTTCAAACAGCAGTTTATTTGCTTCTTCTGGACTGAGAATTAAAGGCAAAAAATCCCAGCCCTGCTACTAGAATGCTCTCAAAAACACCCTTTTAAGATACACCACACCTATCCAGTTGAACAATAAATACATCTTTCAGTACTTGTGAAGACATCTAATTATCACTGATGTTATGGTCACTTACATTGGTCTAAATAACAAACAACATTCACAAAATGCTTGATGATTCACTGTCTCCCAGCCCTGCGCTGGGTCAACCCAATAAGAATACTGGGGCTGCAAGGGAGAACACTGCTGTCACGGAGACTTTCAAGCCTAGAAAATATGGACCTAAAAAAAAAGAAGAGGAAGGGCAGATCCAGTTTGCATCTGCCACCTGGATCACTACCTTCAGCTGTACCCACCCATTTCTATTCTACCTTCCTCCTGTGAGGTGACAGCAAATACACGCTGTCCAGACAGAGCCCTGGGACTGCTCTTTGCTTCCACATGGCCTCTTCAGCATCTCAGACACTCCACTCTTCCTACCCCTCATAGCTGGTCTAATATTCTCGTACAGAGGTGACAGCTATGGTTTACATTTAGGTACAACAAGCAAACATTGACATGTTCAGCTTTACTCAGCTTCCCCATAAAAAAAATTTTCTCTGTACTTGTACAGGGTTTAAATGGCAAGGTGGCAGCTGGGAGTCTTCAGAGTGGCCTCTGTGAGATGAAATCAGGGGCTGTGCCTTTGCAGGCAGAGCTGGTTCCAGCTGGCTCCAAAAAAGACCCACCACTGGCCAAAACTGAGCCCATCAACAACACTGTTGTTTCACTTTTGTGAAAACACATTTAAGAAAGGGAAGAAATGCTTGTGCTGGTTTTGGCTGGGACAGAGTTAATTTTTGGTTAGTGTGGGGCTGTGTTTCTGATTTGTGCTGAAAACAGTGTTGATAATTCAGGGATGTTTTAGTTATTGCTGAGAAGTGTTTGCAGAGTCAAGAACCTTCCTGCTCCTCACACCACCCCACCAACACAGAGGCTGGGGATGCACAGGAAGTTGAGATGGGACACAGCCAGGACAGCTGACCCCAACCTGACCAAAGGGATATTCTACACAATACAACGTCATGCTTAGTATATAAAACTGGGGAAAGAAGTGTGTGGGGGGGTGCATTTTGTCTTTCCAAGTAACTGGTACCTCTGACGAAGGCCCCCTTTCCTGGAGATGGCTGAACACCTGTCTGTTGATGGGAAACAGTGAAGGAATTCCTTGGCTTGCTTTGCTTGCATGCACAGCTTTTGTTCTATTTATTGTCTTTATCTCAACCCATGAGTTTTCTCACTTTCACTCTCCTGATTATCCTCCCCATCCCACCAGGGAGGAGTGAGCCAGCGGCTGTGTGGGGCTTAGTTGTCAGCTGGGATTAAACCACACCAACTCTGCACAGCAGCTGCGTGAGACAGAGAAGTGAGGAAAATGTGAAACAACCCTGCAGGCACTGAATGAGTGAAGAAGGAAGAGGAGGTGCTCCAGCTGCCAGAGCAGAGATTCCCCTACAGCCTTCAGAAAAGATTATGGTGAAGCAGCCCACAGAGGATCATGCTGGATCAGATACCCAGTCCATGGAGGATCTCATGCTGGAGCAGATGAGCATTCCCAGAAGGAAGCTGCACCCTGTAGAGAGCTCATCTCCTATGAGAACAGGCTGAGAGACCTTATAGCAGCCTTCCACCACCTGAAAGAGGACGTGCAGGAAAGCTGGGGAAGGATTGCTTACAAGGGCATGTAGCGACAGGACAAGGGGCAATGGTTTTAAATTAGAGCAGGGTAGATTTAGACTAGGCATTAGGAAGAAATTCTTTACTATGAGGTCAGTGAAACATTGGAACAGGTTTCCCAGAGAGGTGGTGGAGGCCCCATCCCTGGAGGCATTCAAGGTCAGGCTTGATGGGGCTCTGAGCAACGTCATCTAAAGATGTCCCTGCTCACTGCAGGGAGGTTGGACTAGATGACCTTTAAATGTTCCTTCTAATCCAATGTATTCTATGACCCCTGGAGGTCTTCTGGTTCAAGATCGCTGCTCAAGCAGGGCTACCAGTTCCCTAGGACCATGCCCAGAGAGCTTTTGATTATCTCCAAAGATGGTGACTCCACAAACTCCTGGGTCAACCTGTGGCAGTGCTCAGTCACCCATACAGTGAGTGTTTCCTGATGTTCAGATGGAACCTTCTGTGTTTCAGTTTGTGCA